GCGTCGTACAGAGTCCTAGCGGTCTTGTACTGGCTAAAGTGCGAGCGCTCAGCAGACGGCAGGTGACTACGGACAGCTAGACGAGCAGCAGCATCGCGTGTGGTCCACTGTGAGCGAACTGTACTGTCAGCATCGGCAGCAGGGGCAACAGCGACGTCGGACGTGTGGTCGAACAGTGAGTCTCCGTCCTTAGAGTCACACTGCAGAAAAGACTGCAGATCATCGACCCAGACCTCAAAATCGACCGCTCGACCCTCAGCATCGAAGGTAAGGACATTAGGGCTAGCCATGACAGCAGGAGTAGCAGTAGTAGCCTAGCAGCAGCAGTAGCAGCAGGAGCAGCGCGACTTGGCAGGGCGGCGAGGCTCGCAAGGGCGGCGCGGGTGCGGCGGTGCGCTTACCAGGGTAGGGCCGCCAACGGCGGTGGTAGGCAGGGCCGCAACAGCGGCAGTAGGCAGGGCCGCGACTGCGGCTGTAGGAAGGGCCGCATCAGCTGCAGGCAGGGCCACGACAGCGGCCGAGCAGGGCCGCGACAGCTTCAGGCGGGGCCGCGACAGCAGGGCGGCAGGGCCGCGACGGCTCCAGGCAGGGCCGCTACGGCAGGGAGGCAGGGCCGCGACGGCAGGACGGCAAGACGGCAGGGCCGCGACGGCAGGGCAGGGCCGCGACGGCGGAAGTCAGGGCCGCGACTGGAGGGCGGCGGAGCCGCGTCAGCAAGGCGGCAGGGCCGTGACGGGATCAGGCAGGGCCGCGACGGCAGGGGCCTCGACGGCAGGGGCCGCAACGGCAAGGGGCCACGACGGCAGGGGGGGGCCGCGACGGCAGGGGCCGCGGCAGCAGGGGCCGCGACGGCAGGGGCCGCGACTGCAGGGGTCGCGACAGCAGGGGCCGCGACGGCAGGGGCCACGACGGTAGGGGCCGCGACGGCAGGGGGGGGCGCGACGGCAGGGGCCGCGACGGCTCTAGTCAGGGCCGCGACGGCAGGGCAGGCGCACGGGGCGCAGGTAAGGCAGGCGTGAGGCGCGCGACAGGGCAAGGAGCGCGCTTCGGGCAGGGCAGAAAAAAAAAATATTAAGTGGTGGGCCCTAAAAAAAAACGGTCCCACTAGGGAACCCGCTCTATACCATGTGAGAAATGTACGAGGAATAAGTGTCGACTAGAAAGGAGATGGGTACTATGAAAACCTAGAAAAGCTGTACCCCATAGTGTCTACCCCACTACAGCCTACACAGGCTATATCATATATGTTTGACAATCCGTACCTAGTCCTAAATGCTGTCTTGGCGCAGTCCGATGGTTCGACCCGAATCTGATAGTAACCTCCCCGTAAGTCGATTTTCGAAAAGACCCGTGCTGTTCGCAGTTGATCTATCAGTTCGTCGGCGCGGGGGATGGGGTATCGCGATTTGACTGTAACCCTGTTCAGTGCTCTTTAGTCGATGCACATGCGGAACCCTCCATCCCTTTTCGGTGTGAACGGGATCGGTGCGGCGAATGGCGACGAGCTCGGTCGGATGAATTTTTTCTCTAACACGTAATCTAACTGCTTCCTTAGTTCGTCAAGCTCGGGCTGTGTTAGTCTGAACTGTCGCTGTACGGTTGGCTGTGCCCCGGGTTCTAATTCTATTCGGTGATCGTGCGCCCGCTGAGGTGGCAGTCCCTCCGGTGAGTCGTCGGGAAAAATCCCCGGGATCCGTTTCAACAGTTCCTGTAGTTCGGGTGGTACTGCCGCCAGTAGTTTCTGAAAATCGCTCGGCTGCTCTGCTTCTTCCACCATTGCGATATCTACCGCGTACACGTCAGCTCCAACGGCGACAGCCCGTTTCATTGTGATGGCGTTGACGTGGACCGTTGAAGACTCAGACGACTGCCAGCGAGGTAGTTCGACCCAGTTACCGCTACTTCGCACAGTGCAGCTACCCGTCGTCCAGTCGATTCGCGGGTTGTACTGTCGCAACCAATCACGTCCCGGTAAAATGTCGTGCCCGTCCAATGTCATCGCGAGCATTTCCTGTGTAAACCCAAAGTTCCCCCCACAGCGGACTTTTACTCTCTCCACTTTTTCCCGTATGGCCAGCGGCGTTCCGTCAACTAAGCGTGCATCTATCTCCGGTAAACACCGACTAAGTGCCAGTTGCAGCTTCCTTGCAGTCGCGGTGTTAATTAAGCTGTGACTTGCGCCTCCATCTTGAACCGATCCGAGCTGCCGCCAAGTGCGCAGCTTCTGACGCGCCGAAATCGAAGCCGCAATCGGCTCGAAACGCGCCCGGAGCCCTGCGCACCATGCATCCCACGTGCTGTACTGGGCTGTCTCGCAGAATGAACTCCAGGTGACGGCTGGGCCCGTGGGCCCTTCTTCTTGCGACGGTGGCTTGTAGGCGCGTGGCGACGTCACGATGACTCGCCATGGCAGGGCCCCTCAGCAACGAAACAGCGTAGCGAATCTTCGCTGCGTCCGACTCGACGTAGTTCGCGTCGAAGAAAACGTTCATCGTGAAGACCCACGACTGAACCGTCGGACCTCCACGTTGGCTCGGGTCGAAACAGGGCAGACGCTGCGGCTTGAGTGGCATTGGTGCCGTGACGGCGTACTCGCCACTTGTCGCTGCAAATTCCACGTGCCGACGGGCTTCGCGAGGCTCCCGCGGGCTTGGTGCGGCCTTGTTTCTCTCCATGCCAGGCATTGAGTGAGCGGCGCCCTCACTGGCTACGCCTGAGCGCTGTCCCACGCTGTCGTTCTGTGTCGGTGTGCCTGACGAGATGATGATCGGCTCCTCGGATTGTGCAGGTGCATTTGTTGGTGTTGGTGCATTCACTGTCGATTGCTGGCGAGCGGAGTCGCGTTCCGCCGTGAGTGTGGCGATTTCGAGGGCCGAATCTTCGAGTTGGCGTACAAGACGGTCGAGCTGCGCTTGCGTCAGTGTCGCGAGAGTGATTTCAGCCATGGCGGGGGTGTCGGGCAAGCTCAGCGAGAGCCTCTGTCGTGGCCGTGCGTGCTTACGAGAGAGCACTACGAGCGGCGGTGCTTGGTCGCTGAGAGACGTCTACCCCCCCCCCCCCCCCCCCCCCCCCCAAAAAAATTTGAGATATTGGGGAAACGAAGGTGTGGGTGCGGTCCGAGAGAAGATCGTAGGCTCTGATAACCAAGTGTTACGAGTGCAATTGAGTGAGCGAGCGAGGATTGCACTATCGTGACAAGAGACAATGAACGAAGGTTTGAGCGAAGAATATATAGCGAAGCTACAGTGGTAACGGTAACGTGTGAAAAAATGGGGTGCGCGACGGGCCTGGTGCCGAGGTTGGGGGATGTCGAGGCGGAGGTCTGGAGCGCGGGTTACCAACCGAACCGTGAGGTTGGGTCGCATCGTGAACAGTGGCGGGAATGGGGTCGAGGCGAATGTCGCGAGTGGTAACGGATTATTGTGGGGTGCTGTTGGCGGGAACAGTGGTGTACGCGCTGAGCAGGGACGCGAAGTAAGGAAAAGGAATTTTCCTTGCACAATCTCACATGCAACAATTGCCCTCAATTACTCAGCTTGCTGGTGCCTGGATTTGGTTCAATGGGGTCCAAGAACACGTTTATCACGCGGGTACAGTATTGGTCAAGCCCTTGAGGCTGGTTACTTTCTAGGAGCACCTCGAAGCATGGAAACCAGTTTCGGCAATGATCGTCACTCCATAGGACAACACTGTCGCCAATTGTTCGCCACTTCGCCAACTTTCGTGTCGTGTCGCGAGCCGTGCCCAATATTCCTTCTTGGCCTGGGGGGTTGGTGTGATCGCGATTGGTCAGAAGACCAGGCAAAACCGAGAAAAATCTCACAGAACCGAAACGTCTGGACGGTAGTCTCCTACTATGGCCTCCTGATTTGCAATTTCGTTTGGTCTTGCCTCCCTCCCGCGCTTCTGGGGTAATTTCCGTGTCGGTTTTCCAGTAGGGCCCAGCTGGCACTTCCGAGTACTGTAGCTCTTCCTGGTTCAATTGCTTTCAGCTCAAGCTTCCAGCTCACTAACGAGTCACACCACGGCCCAGCTTCTTTGCTCACTGGCTTTCAGCCCAAGCTTCCAATTCCTACGTCAGCGCGTTCCATCATGAATCGCCGCGTGCGGAGCAGTTGACCGTTGCCAGCGCACCTAGAGTTTGTTGTAAAGTAACCTCTGATTTCGCACAGTATACAGTCGATGGCATTCTATGGAGGACCAGACTGTATCACGACCTGCTGCTAGGCATCTAATTGAACCACTCACTACTACTAGTGGTGGATGAGTGGTTCCACGACATCGTACTGCACACTAACTGTGTGCGTCCCATGCGATGATGGCGGTTGACTGCCGCCAAGAACGTGCGGTGCGGCGAGACTGTCACAGCGAGAGCTCGTGTGCCCTCAATCATGTGGGGCGGAGCGCCCGTCTCCGCCGCCCGGGGACGCCACGATTGGCGCACGATCACCCTATGGTGGGATGGCGCCGCGATCGCAACAGACGCGGTGAAAGAGTCTCGGGTCGGCCGCTCGTTTACAAAGCAAGGCGTTTGCAACCCTCCCTTCCAATCCTTCCCATCATTTGGTAGTCTTTGTCAAAGGCTGGTTTCGTCCCTAGTAGTAATACCAGATTCGCATCCGTCTTTCATTTCATTTCGTCCCATCTCACGCCAGTTGTGCTGACGTCTAGTGCTGCCACATCGTTTTGAGTCGACTCAAAACTAAGTTGTGCTGACGTCTAGTGCTGCCAACATCGAGACGGCTCAGTGGAGAGGCTCGTCCGCTGCCCATTTCAACAACAAAGGCCTGCTCTTAGGCTCAACCGCTGAGATTCAATATTGCCAGTTCTTGAACGACGTCGCACGGCTCTATCTACCTGAACGACGTCACACGTCTCTATCTACCTGAACGACGTCGCACGGCTCTATCTACCTGAACGACGTCGCACGGCTCTATCTACCTGAACGACGTCGCACGGGAGGGACACCGTCGGACTTTCTCGCTACCGCACTCCTCGCCATGGACGACCTTCTTTTCCCGCTCGCACCGCCTCACTCTCCGCCCTCTACCCTTCTCGCACCGCCTCACTCTCCGCCCAACAGCCACGGCACTACCACCACCACCAGCAGCAGCAGCATGGGAGGGACACCGTCAGTGTTACCACCACCGTCGGACTCTCTCGCTACCGCACTCCCCGCCATGGACGACCTTCTTTTCCCGCTCGCACCGCCGCATTCTCACTCTTCCCTGCCCGCACCGCCGCACTCTCCGCACTCTTCCCCCCTCGCAAGCGACGAAGTGCAAATACAGCGCATGCTGGCTGGGCTCTCGCATCTCGCACGCTTCCTGCGACTGCAGGACGCACAGCAGCCTGACGTGCAGCCTCTGGAAGCACAGCAGCCTGACGCGCAGCCTCTGGAAGCACATCAGCACGTGGGCGGTGGGAATGCGGTGGACAGCAGCGGCATGCATGATCATGATTTCCTCGCACGCGAGCCACTAACGGAGACTGTTATTCCTGTCTTTAACGAGGACAGGACTGCAGAGTGCGGACCACCACTACAAGCGGCAGAAGCAGCAGTTGCAGCGGCAGCAGCAGTAGCAGAGGCAGAGGCAAAGGCAAAGGCAGGGGAGGCGGTGCTTTCAAGCCGGGTGGCGACGAGGGTGCAGATGGAGGGGGGAAGAGAGGACGAAAGGCAGCAGCTCTTGGCTCTCCTGCGGGCGCGCAAACAGGCAGAGGACCTGCACCTGTTGAAGCAACTAAGGCGGAAGCAGCAGCAGACGCAGCAGCAGCAGCAGCAGCAGCAGCAGCAGCAGCAGCAGCAGCAGCAGCAGCAGCAGCAGCAGCAGCAGCAGCAGCAGCAGCAGCAGCAGCAGCAGCAGCAGCAGCAGAAACAGCAGCAACAGCAGCAGCAAGACCTACGGAAGCGGCAGAAGGGGCAGAGGGTGGTGAGTCAAGAGCAGGCAGGGGTTCCCCAGGCGCCACAAGTGCAACAGCAGTGGCAGCATCGGCAGGAGCAGCAGGAGCATCAGCAACAGGAGCATCAGCTGAAAGGAGGGAAGGAGGAGCACTGGCTCTCAGCTTTCACGGCTCTTCCGGGCGCGGGAACATCAGCAAAACGAGTTGAGACCGCCCTTGCTTCCACGTTTGCTCCCAGATACCGTCCAGATGGCGCTCTGCAATTGGCTCGTGGTGGAGGTGGGTGGGGACGCAAGGGAGGGCGCGACGGGAAGAGGAGTGGTGGCAGCTGTGGTGACAGTGGTGGCGGAAGTGGTGGCAACAGTGGCGGCGGCAGTCCCCTCAAATCTGCTCTGCGTGGCAGTGGCACCAACCCCAGCAGTGCCAGGAGCAAAGCTTTCCACGATAACGACGTGACGGCAGGTGCACATTGCATCATCAGCTCTAGCCTTTTCAGCAGCACTGGCACCAATTTAGCGAGCGACGCTGGAAGGAAGAGGAAAAGCCCAAGCCCAGGGGGTCCCACCGTCCGCGCTACGGCTGCTCACATGCGGCAGCAGAACGCCAGGCAGAGCGTGCTACAGACCTCCCATGCCTGCTACAGACCTCCCATGCCTGCTACAGCCGGAGCGTGCTCGGGCCAGCCAGTGTCTCGTTTGTTCCGCCGAATCCAACCAGTGCCGCAGCGACGTCTATCCTGGGCAGTGCCATGGTTGTTGATCCTCGTATCCTAGACAGCACAGCGACTAGACGAGTGGGAGTATCAGACATGAGCGGTGTGAACGGCATGGGTGGCACGGGCGGCAGGGTTTGGTGGCATTCTGGCGACGATTTTGGTGCGGGCGTGTGCCTTCAGCAGCCTGTGTGCGACACAGATGGTTTGCTCCGACCTTCTTCAGACGAAATTCAGTGCGGGAAAGCTGAAGGGTGGCATGCACAAGATGTGTGCGGGGTGAGATACCAGAGCTCGACCATTGGCTGCTGCGCATGCGACGTGCAAGATGAGTGTGCCACGGACAACGAGCGGTTGCCTCGGTGCCAGGCCGTCAGGACTGGTTCGGCGCCGAACCAAAGGATTAAGAGGCGCAGCATCGCGGAGCGGCAGAGGAGGGGGAGGATCAGTGAGGGGCTGCGGAGGCTGCGGGTGAAGGTGAGGGGGCGAGGGGACACGTGCGCTATGCTGGATAGGGCAGTGGGTTATGTTGATGCGCTGGAGAGGCGAGTGATGGAGCTAGAGGGGGTTGTCATGGCGGCTGCTGGGTCTGGGAGAAACGGTTTCCCCAAGAATGCATTTGCTGGTGGTGTTGCTGGTTGGCCTTTTGAGTGACGCTGTTGCTGGTTGGCCTTGGGAGTGAGGCATGGCTGGACAGAGCTTTGGCCTATGCTGGTGAAGGTTGACACATCAAGCATATGGATATGGTGTAAGGAACTTAGGGATACTGTCTTTTATACAACTGTTTTTGTGAACAGACTTCACCTTCACCTATTCTATTGGACGTATATTTTTTTTTTGCATATGTTTTGAAGTGCTATATAGCAATCTTATCATGATTATAGTGCATTTGTTACGTACCGTGTTCATTAGGGTACCATATCTTTTACAAGGTTGTTTTTGCAACAAATGTGCATGCTAGAGCCTGCTTGATTAGAAAGGACCACATGACAGTGGAGTACTCTTGAAATAGTGTACCGTACTCTACTCTTTTCCATCCATGTATGTCAGAATACTGAATGAGAATGATTGCATTGAGAAGAAAGTTGGTACAATTACTAACCATAATTGGGTTGTACCACTTATGGGCTAACCCACTACAGTCTACACAATATAAACATTATAATAGTTTGACACACCCCCATAGGCAAAGTGGGGGGAACAGGGGGTCACAAGACCAGTCAAGAAAAAGCCAAGCAAGCTCAGGGTGGATCACAAAGTCACCACACACTCTGAGCGCAAGCAAATGGCCACAAGGCCAGTTCAAATGCAGAATAATATAAACGAGAACAAACAGTACAGTGGTCATAACCCAGCAGGGGTAAGCATGCAGGTATATGTATATAGATCACAGTACAAGCAAAGTCACGCAGTGAGCAAGTGAGGCAAAGTAGGCACAAGGCCTAAAACAATACAGAAACGCTGATGATCACCAGGCTGAAGTGCCTTGGTGAATATATCAGCAGTGTTGGCCCGAGTGGCCACGTAAGCAAGACAAAGCTAACCACGCTGCTGCAACTCTCGAGCAAGGAAGTAACGCAGATCGATGTGCTTTGTCCTGTGCTCCAGTCTGTGCTCCTAACACAAGGCAATCATGGCCTTGTTGTCTACGTACATAACTGGAGGAGAACGAGGACGCTCTCTCAAGTCGGTCAGCAGGTAGGTGAGCCTGCGTAACTCCTATGCAGCCATGGCCCCTGCGTAGATCTCAGCCTCACAACTGGGACTGAGAACAGAAGACGAGCGGGTAGACCGCCAAGAAACAGAGCCGGAGCCAAGGCTGAGAGTGTAACCCTGTGACAACCGCTGCATAGCCAAGTCGTCAACCAAAGACGCGTCTGCGTGACCGGTGAGGACAACTGGACCCCGTCCTCCAAGCACGAGCCCCATGCCCTATGTACTGCACAAGTAGCGCAACACTCTCTTAGCGGCCACCTAGTGCTCTGGTCAGTGTCTCCCGGGCGCAACGTAGCGTGCCAGAATGCTAAGAGGGTAGGCAAGGTCGGTTCGAGTGCAGGTCATTAGGTACATGAGGCAGCCCACAAGCTCTAGATACGGGCCACTCGGCTCTACGGACTCATCCGAAGGTGGAGCTGAGAGCGAGTGACCGGTAGGCAGAGGAGTGGACTGTGGCGAGGAGTACAGGAAGCCGAAGCGCTGAAGACCCTGGTGCACCATGTGTGACTGAGTCAGGGTGATGGTGCGCCGTGCTCTGTCTCGGGTGATCTGCAAGCCAAGATAGCTGCGCAGCTCACCCAGGTCAGTGTAGGTGTGTCTCTTCTGAAGCTCCGACTTCACAAGGGCCAGTGCCTCAATATCACCAGTGGCAAAAACCAAGTCGTCGACGTACACAAGGATGTAGAACGGCGGCAGCGAAGTGTCGGTGGGTCAGCACTCGAAGGAGCAAACCCAAGAGCCGCAAGCGTTGTCCTCAGTGTGTCGTGCCACTCACGGGGTGCCTGTCGGAGACCGTAGACTGGCCGCCGGAGGCTCCACTGGGTACCAGCAGGAAACGACCCAGTGAAGCCAGGTGGGCGGCGCAGCCAGATCTTCTTGTGCAGGCTGCCCTGCAAGAAAGTTGTGCTGAAGTCAAGAGAGTGAAGCTCGTAGTCACGCTGAGCGACGACGTGCAGCAGCACCCAAAGAGTGGTCATCTTCGGGGTAGGGGAGAAGGTCTGGAAGAAGTCAACTCCCTGTCGCTGACTAAGCCTCGTGCAACGTAACGAGCCTTAGTCGGAGAACCCGGCGGCCGCTTCACCCTGAAAATCCACATGCCGTCGACTATGTTCGCCCCATGAGGGGGAACTGCGTCGACGTAGGTGCCTGTGGACTTCCAGGATGCCATCTCTGCGTCCATGGCTGTCTGCCACTAAGAGGAGTAGGGACCCGTAATCGCCTCTGTGTAAGAGCGCTGGGCCGGGATGTCTGGTGCATCCGGGTCTCCCTCAGGTGCAAGCAGCATGGCCACGAGATGAGGTACAGCAACTGCAAGACACTCAAAGTCCTCCTGCCTGTCCTCAAGGACGTCCGTACCAAGAGCACACTCACCCCCGACGGACGGAGGACAGTCAGACTCAGACTCAGCAAGAGAGGACGCACGGCAGGGGAAATCGCAGTGGAACAGAGGAAGGACGAAGTGCCATAATGTGAGTGCCGGGGATAGGAGGAGGACGCGGACGAGGAACACGACGACCAGTGCGAACAGCGCGAACAGGCGAGGCAGGACGAGACTCAGGCTCACAAAGCTCTGTAAGAGAGTCTGTCTGCTCAGCGTAAGGAGAAGGAGCAGGCAGTGGGGACTCTGGCTGTAACTATGGCTGCGACTGGTGAGGCGGTGGACACAGTAAGCGAGGAGTAGGGCTAGTAGGAGACGGGAGATGAAGAACATGGCGAAGGACCGAGCCAAGTGGTGGCAGAGACGACGGCGGCAGCGGAACAAAAAACGGTCGCCGCTGCACACTGCCTCCAGCACCAGTACCGCCAGCTCCAGCACCCCCAACGCCAGCACCTCCACCTCCAGGGTATCAAGCTCCATTGCCTCCAGCTCCAGTACCTCCAGCTCCAGCACCTCCAGCGCCAGCGCCTCCAGCTCCAGCGCCTCCACCTCCATTCCCTCTAGCTCCAGCTCCTCCAGCTCCAGCGCCTCCAGCGCCAGCGCCTCCAGCTCCAGGGTCTCCGGCTCCAATGCCTCCAGCTCCCGCGCCTCCAGCTCCAGCGCTTCCAGCTCTAGGGTCTCCAGCTCCAGCTCCTCCAGCTCCAGCGCATCCAGCGCCAGCGCCTCCAGCTCCAGGGTCTCCAGCTCCAGTGCCTCGAGCTCCAGGGTCTCCAGGTCCATTGCCTCCAGCTCCATCGCCTCTAGCTCTAGTGCCTCCAGCTCCAGGGTCTCCAGCTCAAGCGCCTCCAACACCACCAGCTCCGGCAGCTCCAGTACCTCTAGTACGAGCACCTCCAGGACCAGCAGCTCCAGCACCTCCGGTACCTCCAGCTCCAGCAGTAACTCAAGCACCTCCTGGACTAGTAGCTCCAGCACCTCCAGCTCCAGTGCCTCTAGCGGCAGGGCCTCCAGCTCCTGCAGCGCCACTCCTAAGGCGTGTGCGCCGAGCAAACCACTCGCGCAGCTACTGCGGTGAGAGAGGCTCCCGCCGGCGAGACTATCGCGGCGAGGCACCCGCAGGACCTCCGGCAGACGTAGTACCCCTAGGCTCAGCAGCCCCAGACTCCGCACCCTCAGACTCAGCACCCCCAGGCTCCGCACCTTCAGTCTCAGCACCTTCAGGCTCCGCACCCTCAGGCTCAGCACCCCCAGGCTCCGTACTCGCAGGCTCAGCACCCCTAGGCTCCGCACCTGCAGGCTCAGCACCCCCAGACGCACCACCCCTAGCAGCACCACCCTCAGCAGCACCAGAGTCTACAGTGACCTTGACAGGCTCAGCCAGGGGGAGTGGGTCTACCTGAGACACACCTGAGGGAGCAGGACCCTGAGGGGGGAGGGGGATCTACCGGAAGGGGACCTGGAGCGAGGAAGAGCGACAGGGGGGGGGGGGAGAGGGGCAGTGCGGTAGGGGAAGAGATGGTAAAAGGGAACTGACTCGTCAAACGTGACGTCCTAAGAGGGCAGGAGACGGCGCAAGTCGGGGTGGTAAAACTGCCAGCCAGGCGCGTCAGGGAAAAAGCCAAGGAAGACGCAGGGATTGGCGTAGGAGGAGAGCTTGTCCGCGGACGTATCGCAAACTAAGGCACGAGAGCCCCAGACCCAGAACACCGACGCATCGCCAACCTTCCCCGTCCAACGCAGTGTAGGCGAGGTCTCCGGCAAGGAGACACGGGGCCAGAGGTTGAGCTGATGCGCAGCATACCCGACCGCAAACGACCACAGAAAATGGGGAGCAGCCGCATGGATCATGGAGGTACGAGCCACCTCCATGACTAAGCCAATGCGGAGCAACCCTGTTTTGCTGCGGGGAGGCCGGAAGCGTGAACGAATGGAGGATGACCTCCCCACGACAAAATACCCGCAAGAGGTCGGAGGAGAACTCACCACCTCTATCAGAGTGCAGACGCAGGACAGGAAGGTCCTGGCGGAACCGCTCGCAGAGCTGGAGACAGACTGCGCGGATCCAAGGGATCAAGACATCAGGGGAAACGAGGAGGAGTGAGGAGCGGCGCGCTGCTGCCCCTCGAGACAGAGAAGGCAGGGCAGGGCAGGCGAGGGCGGGAGGGCAGGCAGAGACCTGGGAAGACCAGAAACAAGGAGGTGGGAGTGCATGCCACAAAGGCGTGGCAGGGAGGGGTGACCAAGGCGGTGGTGCCAAAGGAGAGTCTTGTGCGACACGAGGCGACACGAACAGGGGGCGGCTACCTGACCTGACGCAGACACCTGACCAGAAGCAGCTACCTGAGGAGGCTCAGTAGTCAGTGTGTACAGACTCGACCCAGGTCGACGGGTGAACGTGGCCAGGTGACGGCCCGATCGTGTACACGTGCAGATCGCCACACGCTGACCCCCAGTAGTGGTGGTAGTGACCATCACATCTTGGAGGGCAGCGGTACTCCCCAAGTTTGTAGAGAACGAGGGGAGGTGAAGACCTAATAGTGAGCTAGATGGAACCGCCAGA